AATTCACACAACAGTAGTGGGTGGTTGAACAGATAAGCCTGCACATTAGAGAGATCAAGTTCCCTCATGAAACAGAGGTAAAGCTGTCGTATCCCACCAAGTGAAATGAGCTGCAAGAATCTGCTTATGACTGTTATCAGACTAAGGTAAGAACTGAAGGCGCAAATATATGAACTATTCCTCACTTGCTCCATAAAGCTTCTTTTATGTTACTGCAGTTAAGATAGCCTGCTTCCTTGATAGGATATCATCTGAAGTAAGAATCCTCCAATTTTGGAACTTACTCCTATTCCCTGCCTGCCAGAGTCCAGACTCCTCTTACCCACCCCAAAGCCATGACACTGAATGGCAAAACAAATTTTAGTTTTGCTAGTCACAGGTGTTCATAGGCAAATGTAAACTCCTACTACCCATTCAAGTCAGACATGCTCACCAAAGCAGCAGGGAGCTATAGGACCACACAGTCCTATAACACAGAGTACTTAACTCATTGTCAGTGCCATGCTAGTCACAGCCACAGTTTTCAGCCCACATATGTGTGTTGGTACACCTCTGCATAGACAAACCCATGTATTGAACTATGAATTTAAACATGGAATAGCCAAGTAAAAATAGAACTATATTTAACAGGGCAAATAAAATTAATTTGATGCCTTGGTACCATTTTTACAAGTTTTAGATTGTAAGTGAAAACATTAACTATCTAGTTACTAACTAGTATGAAAACATACTACGACAGGAAACTTTTGTATATACTCTCATAATACATTTTGCATTGAACAGAAGAGAAAAATACTACAAATGCTTTATTACCTTTGCTGCAGCTATAGTATGCTCAGGTTTGATTGTTTTACTTTTGTTCTCAAAAGCATTTGTCCTGGCTTCTTCTGCAAGCCGATGGAGAAACATTAAGAAGTTCAAATGTACCTTTAAAAGAAGAAAAATAAAATCAGGGAGAATTCAGACTGCTCATGCACTGTTTTGTTAGAGATTCATTATTTGAGACAGAGGATTCCTATATTAGACTGCTTCCAAAATCATGAAGGGTGTTCCTAGGAAGACAGAGTATCATTTGGGTCAAATCCTAATAGATGCCCATGACATTCCGTACTGCAAGACTCTTGTAAATACTTAAGATTATTTAAATTGTAAGAGTGCTGTAGAAGTGATCATACAGACATCTTACAGAAATAAAAAATTTGATTTACATTATATTTTATTACAAAAGAAAAAAAAAAGCCTGCTAAACAAAAGTATCAAGCAGAGAATGAGAAAACATCTTGCTTACTAGCAGATACAATCAGCTTTCAGTGACTGAAACAGTCAGACTGTTAAAGAACAGCAAATTCATCCCTGCCTTATCACCAAATGGGCCATAGACAAGTTCAAGGACTCCTGCCCTTTTCTAGGGCAAAGGAGCATTGACATTAATTTCTCCGGCACAAGTAACTCCCCACTGTCAGGAGCTTCCTTTCTTTTTTTCCCAGCTCATCACTTACTTAACCTTCCTACATGAAAAGAGCTGGTAGGTCAATATGTTGGTTCAATACAAGATCCTGCTATGTTCAATACAGGAGTGGCAAGAATTTCAGCAGCCAAAAAACTGTTACAACTCGTACCAAAAACTGCCATCAAAAACACCCCCGTGTAGTAACAAATCTACAGTGCAAATCCCTAGCGTTATACAGCCATTATGTCAAGTATTTGAATAGTTCAACCTGAACATTGGAAACTGCACATTTTGTAAATTAAGCCTTCAAACAATATTAACTTTGCTATGTGAAGCATATTAAATACTTCTTCAATCAAGAGCTCAAGAATATTATTGAAACATGAAGATTTTATTTATATGAATTAGGTGATATATTTGTTTTGCCATCATATCTTTCTAGACTGTAGATCAGCTAACAAGGAAAGTTACAATTTAGAATTTATGGGAAACAGCTTGGCAGGGCGCTTACAGCAGAAGCAATCTGCAGGCATTTTAACGTTCATATGACAAAATTCAATTCATTTTAAAACTGCTGAACTAAAGGAATGTCACTGTGCAATACATACAACTATATTATTGTATTTGGAAGCACCTACTACACAAAACGCAGATGCTACTGCAGGTTTACTTAGCAAGATATCAAAACAAGTTTTAACCTATTAAATTCTGCATGAGGAAGTTATCTCTGAAGAAAATCTGTAGTGACACTGAGATAGTGTTAAACACTATACTTCTCATTATTAGACTTACAAACATAAAGGTTAGATTTCTGGGAACAACCTGGAGGAGGAGAGCTATGGGGAACAAAAACTTGCCAAAAACTAGTTTCATGTCCTCTTGCTGAGGCACCTAAATACAAAATTGCAAATTTTAAAACTGCCTTTAAAAAAATGCATCTTCTTAGACTCATTGCACCTATGTTTCCCTACTTTCAAAGGGAATTACTCTGTGTTCCCCAAACTCCTATCAACTTAAAAGAAACAGATTAGTAAAGTCAGAGCATTCTACAACAGAGCACGTTAATAAATATTTCAGATTATTCGATATTTATATAGCTTCCATTTAAGGAAATAGAGAAAGGATAATGAAAGGTGTAATAGTGGAATACCATCCATGTGACAGCTACTGACAAGTACTTATGTGTTGCCACAACTGTTTAAAGCTATTGCTTCACTACGGATCAGGTTATTGTCCCTTAGCATATGACTTCAATAGTTTTGAACTACTTACAAAAAAAAAAATCTTACACAACAGTATACTTATTTTCCATAACAGAAAGGTTGGAAACTTTTAAGAATAAAAGAAAAAACGTAACACTGCTTGCTGACCAACTTCCACACATCTGTTGGGCAGAACTACTGAATGATAGTGGCAATCTCCCTCATTTTGCTTTGCTGCCACATTAACAATTTATTAGATAAATAACTTGCCTTCAATTAGATATCTATGTCTACTCATTAGATTCTATGCCCATAACAAAAACAGAAGTGCTCATTCATACTTCAAGCCTGTTCTGCAATATAAAAACAAACCTGCACTTCTAGCATAAAAAAGCAGCCGAGTGCTTTCCTTCTGTAATTCCAAGCTAGAACACAGTTCACACTGCTCTTACATCTCAACCTCATCACTGAAGTCCTTCACCTATTTTCAAGAAGGTAAATTATTGATTTCTAGGCAAATTGGACAAACCTCTGCACTAGTCCTTTCTCTTCACTTAAAAACATTGTCACATTCCTTCTACAAAACAGCTTCTTGGGAAATTTATAAGCTACACTGTGTATAGAGAAGGATGTTAACACTTAGAAAATAGGTTCTGGCAAAGCTTCAAAGCGCAGAAGGAGACTTGAAGAAGAGAACCTGAAAGGGGAAAGAAGAGATTCAATTCAAATATTTAACAAAAATGTTTGTATTCTTATGACTGATCTTTCAAACTTCTTACGAACAATCATTGAAGATGACATTTGCTTACTGAAGAGCCAAGAAAAAAAGTAAATAACCAGATTATATCACAAAACAGGCAGGTACACCACCTCCTTGCTGGACTTAGTACTACAATGCATTCAAAGAAAGCCTTAACCATTCAGGAAACTACCCCTGAAAATGAAAAATAGCTGACTCTCTCATTTCCCTGCAGAAGACAAACAGCCTGTTCAAAATGTATATGGTTTAGTCTTGCTAAAAGAACTAGTATATAAATTTCCAAAGTATGCAGATGAATCACTCTTACAAAATTTGTAGGGAATGTGTAGGAGAGAAGCTAAAGCTTTGCTGGAGAAAGGCTGGAAAAAACTCTCATAACTTGTTGCTTTAACTACATCAGCTGAACTTTTTTTTTCCCCCAGAAAAAAAAAAAAAAAAAAAAAAAGATAAACACAGATAGGCAGATAGAGTTTTGCTTATTTATTCACAGAAATGGAGAATGAAAGAGCTGCTAGCTATATGCCTGGTTGAAGATCTTGCACAATTAGCACCCCTGAACATTCCTGTTCAGAAAAAGGTAAAACAAAAAGAAACCAAGCATCCTAACATTTAAAGGCCATTTAATTTCACATCACCAGAAGAGGTATTCTAAGCTTCCCCCACACTATTAACATTTGTTTTGATCTCATCCTTTGTATTGGGATGAGTACTTGCATAACCATATTTTAAGCCAGACAAGATTGATATTGCTTGTTAGTTTTGATCAATTCAATTTGCTGATGGCCTTTGCAGCCCACAAAATGCTAGTGCCAGGATGAGGCAGAGATAGGGACTGATGGCCAAGGCTTAGAGGGATGTCCCACTTACCTCTTTTCAGACAGCCATGCTTCCTTGAAGCCAAATTAACATGACCATGGAAACACAGACCAAGTGTTACTAACAACTATAAAAAATTATTAATGACTGCACGAGTTTGATTAGCTCCTACTGCATGATTAAGCTTTGAGTGGGTCTCAGCACGAGTAGAGAGTAGCCAGATCCATAAAATACCCCACAGATAGCAGAAGCGGAAGAAGAGATCCTTCCTTTTATTAGACAAATTAGAGAAAACATGGACCATTTGCATTCAAACGCAAACGCTGTCACGCAGTTACCACCTTCATTGAGCTGTGCAGACCTGGGTACCAACCTCCAAGCCACACAAACATACAGCATGCCCCCGTCACCGCCCTGAGCACCACATTACAGTAAATTCTTTAAAATAAATAAATAATTTACGCGCAGATACTGCCTCCCCCCCCCCCAGCAGGCCAGGCTCCCTTGCTGCCGCCGGGCCACTTCCGAGCCCCTCAGCCGTGTTTCCGCGCCCCCCTGGCCGCCCTCACCAGCAGGTCCCCGCCGGCGGCCAGGCGCAGCTGGGGCTTGTGGCTCTTGAGGAGGCCCCGCAGGGTGCCGCGGGGCGCGCCGCGCCTCATCCCGCCCGGCCCCGGTTCGAATCCGCCGCCCCAGCGCAGGCGCGCACCCGCCGTGACGCACTTCCCAACGGCCCGGCCCGCCCCGCCGCCAGGCAAAAAAAAACAAAAACAAAACAAAACAAAAAACCATGAGTTTGAAGCAGCCCTCTCACCAGCGTGACGGGATTTGCAGAGGAGGGGGGAGCCGTGGGGCGCTCGCTCGGTGCCTCAGCCGGATTCCCACCGTCACCCCCCACCGAAACGCGCCCGAGCGGCGGTCACCCACACCCAGGCAAAACGCTCAGAGAAGCGACCTCACAGCCCCAGGCACAAACACCCCGATTCCCCCGGCAGCCGCCCCTCCAAAGGGTCGCCCCGTCCCTCCCCAGGCTCGGCCGGCGGGTGCTGCCGGCTGGAGGTTTCCCCGCAGGTTTCCCCGCAGCGGGGCCCCTGCAGCTTGGCACTCCCGGTCTGTTTGGACTCGGTGTACTTAAGTTGGAGAAAGGGTCAGGATTTCAGACTGAGGTATGGAGCTTTTCAGCGTATTTATTAGTGTGGGTTTTTTTTTTGTTTGTTTGTTTTGTTTTGTTTTGTTTTCCTTGGCCTATGGGGTGTTTGCAAGTTTAAACGTTAAGTCAGTAGGATAAATAAATTGCCTTTATTTTAACATGCGCACAATTGTCAAGTACCCAGATACAAGCTGGTTTTATTAAAGTGTGTTATTAGATCTGTAGGATTTGGTATTTTAGCTAATTTTGCAACACACACAAATGTGGTCCAAATAGAAGTATGATATCTGACAGCAGGAGAGAATTCTAGATTTGCCATCTAAAATTCATCATACTCCGTTGGGTATCTGAAATCATGCTTGTTCTTTCAGCTTTGACTGTCACTTGTCATTAACCATCAACAGCAATGCAGATCCTAAAATCAGTCTTTTTTTTTTTTTTTTTTTCTCTGTAAATGGATAAGCACACTAAAACATAGCTTCTTTTATTTTCTGCAGTTTAGTAATGATCACAGTTACTGGCTCAGCAGAACTGACAGAAGTAAACATTTGTTTTGCCAGTTAACTAAATACATATGACTCAGGAGCTACACAGGCTCGTATTCTGTACGACGTACAGTCTACACATAGGAGCTTGCATTGGGATCGGCAATAATTCAGCATGTCAACAGATTCAGATCTACAGCTGGGATAAATCAGGAGTTCACCGGACCTTTCTTTAGCTGAGAATTGGGCCTTGCAATCTCGTAGAGTCTGTAGGAAACTGGTATGGACAGTCATTTTACAAACTGAATGAGATGCAAAACAACTCCACCGTAAGTGTAAAGCATACATCATATAAGTTTGCAACTCTGAAGTGACCTGCATAAAACGACAGATGCTGAGAATCAAGACTCATAATATCTCCAGTCATCTGTTAGCTATATGAACAATTTTGATTGAATAATAAAATCTATTATTAAGTCTAATACTGTTAGACTTTCATGGTTCTGATAGTTTTATATTTCTAATGGGCTATTCTTTGATTTTAGCTATATAAACAATGTTTTAAAATGCAGTCTCAAATCTATTTACATACCAGATTTTCTTTCTCCTTATGTTTTGAAAAGCTTGACATTAATTACTGCAATTGAGAACAAAGAGGTCCAATGTAAAAATACTAAATTATAGGTTCTGATCTATGGAAAGAACATAAGCTTCAACAGCTAAAATTTCTGCTTCCATATGTATTTTTAATTTATTCTCTTTATTGGTAAATATTTCTGTAAATATGATTTTTTGAATAGTTTAATAGGAAAATTTTAGTACAAGAAAAAATTATAGTGCTGAACATAATGTATTGCAATGGACAAAATGATTTTACAAATTAAATTCCATAACAATCACTAAAGTTCAGATTATTTGATTTGTCTTAACATATGGATTAATAGTAACATTGCAGTGAATCATAAAATAACTGTAAACTTACATTATGTTCCAATTTTGAACATAACTGTTTTCCTTTTTTATCTGATAGAATCTGTAATGTTTTGGTGTGATGCTATTATGAAGTACAATGTAAATGGCTAAAAGAATCATTCCAAATATATTTTAAATAAATTACTGAAATTGTGAAAATTGTTAATTTTGCCGTGCTCTTGCAGCCTTTAATAAAAGGCAATTCTGTACAAAATTGACATATTTTCATGCTTTGCGAGTTCAAAAATGTCGCAGTTTTGCATCCATTTACTACATGCAGCTACATTATTTTCAAGTAATATTTCAAGAATTTTAAGGATTTCACTTTTTAAACAATTGCAACTTTTAAACACGCTAGTTCATTTAATGAGCTGGACATGTTTCAGGGCTTCAGCTGCAGCGCTGGATCTTCCCAGTTTTCCAGGAATACTGAGCTGTATTTTATAACTAAATGCACCATCTGATACTGATGATGAGATTAGGAAAATTCAGCAGTTAAAATTCCACCATCCAGGTGTGACTTCTTCAAGAAAACAAACAGCCTTTGCAGCGTTTGAATCAAGACAATTTCAGTAACATAGTTTTGTCACTTTTGCTTCCAGATTATGTGTGTTTCTGGAAAACAGCTCGATACATTTCAGTGACTAAGAAGAGGCCTAACCTGGGACCATCACTACTGAACTGCAAACCAGTAAACATTTTATTCTCTGTCTCTGTAAAGAAACAGATGAATTTAAAAACTAATTTCTGAATATCATACTTGCTTCAATTTAGATGGTATTAACGGAGTGGGTAAAATTAAACTGAAGGGCAGTGTTTCCCTTCTGTTGTGAAGCTCTTATAAACCCATCTCAGCTTGCTAAAGTGGTTCTACCAACCTGTCCTTTATAACTATTAACTTAATTATTTTGTTTCTGGATCCTGACATTATCTTCAATCAGACTCTTCATCAGCCCTTCATCAATTCATTATTTTTGTCCCAAAGAATGCTGAAGAGCTCAATTTTAATTGTGTGGTATCTTGAAATTAAGTCACATTTTATAGATTCTTGCTAAGCCAAAGGTCCCTCAGTTTCTCCTCTAGCCAGATACTACCTGTTAGGTATTTTCTGGTGCTAATCCAGTTTCAGTGGCTGATGAAAGACTTTAAAAACATATCCTGGATATGAATGTCAGAACCTAAAATCTTTTGATGTTGTCTTCAGCGATGAAAAGATCTGTCCAAAACCAGAACATAACAATTCAGCAGAAGTAAACTCTTCTATAATGTAGTTGATAGGCTTGATCATAGTGGTTGGAGGTACACAGACCTACTCTCCTGTTACACCTATATATTCTTTCTTTTGAATGCAGGATAATTCAGGTGTGGTTGAACCCTTCATTAGAGAAACAGAAAAAGAGAAAATACAAAGGAGAAAATTGTATGTTTTCTTATCTTCCGTGGAACTTAAGCTGATCTCCTGCTTGAGAAAGAAGGATGGAAATGGCAATTTTGACAAGCGGCTTTTTTCTTCTGGCTGTCACTATTTGTAATGTGGCAGTAATTGGATTGCAGTGGTAAATACTAGCAGCTCAAAGAGAAAGACAGCTCTAGCATAATTTATTTTTTAAAAATACTGTTTATTTAGCCTTGTTTCTATTTGTTTTCAGGCACAATATTAAATAGTGAGAAATCAAAAAGGCACAAAACCATAAAATAAATTTGAGAGTCACACTATTTGCTTATTTTAGGTTATACAATTTAAGCTTCAGTTTTTCAGGACATTCTGTATATCAGATCTCCTAAGGCTGTGTAGAGCCTGCCTAAAGTCAGTTGACTTCTGCACAGGCGAGAGACTGTCCATCAACCTGTTGTAGCTAGGGACTATGTTCATTAAAAAAATAAATAAATAAATAAATAAGTAGTCACCTTTAGAATTTTCTAATGGAATTAGGGGAAAAAAAAAAAAAAAAAGATCTCCAGGTAGCCACTTTGATTGTGTTTTTGTAACTTCTGTTGTGACTTTTACAAATTTTAAGATTATTTATGTTTCACTCTCATATATACTCAGGCAGACCCACCTATTTTATGCCAGTCATCCATCCTCCACCAAATTCCAGAAGGAGCAGTGTTATCATCTTCAGATGTCGTGCTTTCAAGGGCTACATACAAGCCAGAAGGGTCTTCAGGCACCTGTAGTCTGATCAGCTAATCCAGATTTGCCAAGAAAAATACCACCTTCTCTGAGAAACTTTCACAAAGTAGCAAAATTCTGAAAAAAATACTTATCAGCCTTCCAAAAAAGATGTTTTATGCATATATATTATAAACAAAAAAGGAGAGCACAAAACTTAATGACATACCCTCAGATCTTTACTGAAAGCATGTCTAATTAACATAATTAATAGTAATGACCATCAATATAGAACTCAACGATTAATATCATTCAACTACCAACATTTCAATTACATTTATCATTTATCTTTTTCTTTTCTGTCAGAAAGGTTTGATATAAAACAGTTTTTTCCTACCTCTTTGTTGATTTCTTTCAGGTTATGTACCATTTCAAATGCAGAATGGTATGATACAGAAAGGCCTGCTTAGCAATGCATCTTTCCATCTCTCTTCTGGCTTTGACTGCAGAGGAAAATGGGTCATCCCAATTGGAGATATCAAACCCTACACCAAAAAATAATCTCCTCGCTGGTGTTCCTAATTGCCACTCATCCTCAGCCCCTCAATCCTAAAATAATGCAGGAACAAGTGATGAGGCTAGTGTAATGACAGATGTCCATTTCTTGCTTGGTACTGCGTGTGTCTTGTGAATGCCCTGACACAACAGCACATACACGCGAGTTTACTAACATTATAACCACTTAGCACCTAATCACAAAGTATATCTCAGGCCAAAAGTATAAATACAGTTAAATATTTATACTTTTTTAATCAGTAAACAGTAGGTGATAACCAGTGGGATGTGTGTGTAGCAGATAATTTGCTGCAATACCCCTGATGATAGATTACAGCAAACTAAATTCAAAGAGTACAAAAATAAAGTGAGAGATAGGTTAGATTTCAGATGAAGTCAGTTGATTTCTAATAACTTAAATCCTGCTTTGTGTGCCAGAAGCTAAGCCATAATGTTATCATTATATACAGACTTGATAGAAGAAAGAACAGCAGCAGTAGTGAAGCAAGAATTTGACTATCGACTTCCAGGTGCATGGAATAACTCTATGATACAATAGGAGTGGCCTTCAGTGCACAAAATACTCATGTACTATGCAGTCAATGAGACAGGGGAGGGAAAAAATAAATATTTTTCAGTTATTTCCATTGCCAATAAGGGAGTTTAAAAAAGAATGTTTCAAATAAAACAAATACTTCAGAGTAAATTGTAATCTGAATGTATTTTTTCAGGCAGATTTTCAGAAATGAAGAGGGTTTTATTGAATGCTAAAACTAACTTACAGTCACCTGAGAATAAGCAGTATAATTTACACAAAACAGTTTAGCACAAAAGGATCCTCGGTCAATGATCCAACTTCTTTAGTAAGCAGACATACAATCATTGGACTTCAAAATTATGTTAATAAATTAATGATCAAATATGAACTATCAAGATTGAGATAGATATAATTCAAGTTGTTTTTTTTTTCCTGGGAAAAAAAAAGGAATTGAAAATTTTAATGTCAGTTTTGTAATAGTAAAGAATAAGCACCCTGGAGAACAAGAGAACTACTGTTTAATTTCCTTTGTTACACTTGCATTCATTTTGAGTGCACAGAAATTTTCCTGAATATGACTATATGCCATGCCCTTTTCAGATTTGCAAACACACTTCTAAACAACAGCAAGAACTGAAAAATATAACACACACATACTAGAACTATTCCAGATTAGGATTGAGAATCAGTTCTTTTCTAAAGAATCTAAATGAAAAATCTACAGATTAAAAAAAAATAATATTTGCTGCTATATAAGCATAAATGAAGGGAAAATACTTTATCAGAGAGTGTGGTAGTATAGGAATTACTAAATAAGTTTTTCTTTCAGCTAGTTTTTTTTTTTTGTTCTCGTTGTTTTGTTCTGTGTTTTGTTGTTCATTTTTTTCAAACAGCCTGCTATATAGGGCATAGACAGGGGATTCAAACATTAATTATCCATTGAGATAAAAATTCTATTACTAGCTTAGAATCATTTTTACCTTGCGAGTACGATAACATTTGCAGATTCAAATTTGATTGGAAGTGGTAGTTTTCAGAGTGAAGGCTATTGTATAAACTTCATGAATGTAAAACAACACCAGTAAGTATTGCTTAAATAAATGTAACTTTGACCACAATTTTGTAAATAAACAACTGTTGATACGATCCTTTTCTTTTCCTACAGAACAAGCCTACTTTCTTCAAACAGTGCTTGACACAAAGAAAAACAGTGAGGGCGTAACGCTTCAGGTTAATAAAACTAAAAGATAGCAGCTGTAGCTGCCGCCTTGCACAGAGGCAAGATACTGCTCCCTGCTGTAAGAAACTGCTTTGGAGCCTTAATGTAAGAATAACCATTGTTTTCTGTGGAAAAGAGAAGCCATATCGATTTTTCTTCATTTACCCCAAACTGCTGTGTAAGCATGTTGTTACAACAGAAATGTACATTGAAGCACAGTAGCTATTAGAACTGTTTTAACAAATGGAAGTGACATACTATTTTTCTAGAAACAATGAGGCTGTCTACCTTGAGTATACATAGCATAACTTAACTACCACAAAGCCAAGAAAAAGTTCTGTTTGAAATTCACAACTCTTGCATCATCACAGATCAATTATAACAAAACTAACCCAATAAAAATGCAGTGAATCATAACACAAATGCAAGATTTTTTGAAAGAATGTATTTTAGAGTTAGCTGACAGAATGCAAGTCAGCTCTAATGTATAACTCTCACCTTATCCGAGGTATTGCAGATGTGCGTTTTGTATTTAGACTGCCTAGCATGAATGCTAGAAAATGTTATGCTTCATTTTGCAAAGTACAGTGATGTTTTAAATAGTGAATAAGGCTGCTGTGATGTTTCTTAAACAAGTCCATTCACTTGAGTGTGGGCTCTGGCTCCTTGATATCACCAGTAAAGTACCAGCTCCTAGATGTACTATGGAATAGTTCCCTTAGATCCTATGGAGGACGTAGGTAGCGTCAGACCGCTGTTATTTACCATCCTGATTTTACCTCTGTACAAACCATTTACTGAATGCTGCCACTAAGCAATGAAGTGGTAAACATAAAAATGCTGCTCGGAGGCAGCTCTGCCTAAAATGGTGGTGGGTGTGTGCTATTCCAGGGTTTTTTGGTGCTAATACATTGATATTGAACACTGTCCTGCTTTGAGCCAGGAATAACAATATGGTTATATTTAACATCCTGATTTTTTTTTTTTCTCTCAGCATGTTTTTCAAACTGGTTTAAACATACATGCTGTTTTGAAAGATGTGTTTACATCTCTCTGGAATTCTTCCCACCTTTTTCTGATGACGTGGTGATGTCGCTAGGTCTGTGTCTGCTGCATTGTGAAAAGTATCCAGGAAGTGAACCATCGGGAGAAAAAGAAAAAAAATTAATCTTGTACAAGAATATGGGAAGCTGTGACTAGGTGCTGTTGTTTTGGAGGTTTTTTACTGTAAATGTCATACAGTTGAAGGCCCATACTCATTGGTATGTTCAGCTGTTTTGTGCTGCTTCAAGTAAGCAAAACAGCTGTAAACCTAGTTTAGCTCTCCAATTAAGCTGAATTTATGGCATCTTTACAATACCAGTGCACAACAAAGCAGCTGGAGACATCAAGTAATTCTGATCCGAGCAATCCCTTTTTAGGGCTTTATTTGGCATTCTTTAGTCAGGCAAAACTTTGCCAGTTTGCCTAAGATTAAATTTAGAGGCCTCTGAGAGGCCTCTGAAGATTAAACAAAATTATACCATAGAACACATGTTCATAAATGCATAGACTTTAGATGTTTCAGTGTAACATTATATTTTGAGCAGATTAATCCAATTTGGGTGCCTAGTGAACTCAGAACTCTCACTAATTTCTGTAATTACCAGGATTGCATCTTCATTAGTCTGTCCTCTTAACGTTGTTGCGTTTCATTTTTTTTTCTGTTTTTGTTTGTTTGTTTGTTTTGTTTTTGTTTTTACAAAGAAGTAAATTGATTTTTCTTTCCAAAATAAATTTAATAATTGCATTCTGCCACAGTTCTTACACGTGTGAATTCTATGCGTGGATGACAAATCTCTTTTTGTCCTTAGCTACAGAAGTCCTGAAATACGGTCCTGAAATACCTGTCTAGAGAAAGCCACAGACATTAGTATGTTAATGTCAACTCCTTAGTGTTTTTATTTACGATTGTCTGCTCAGAGAACAATTTGAAATAACAATTACTTTCTCTTTGCATCTGTTCTGTATTACGAGTCAGCTGCCTTGACCCAAACAGCAGAGCCTGCTTGCTCATTCAGGGCGAGACTCCCCTTTTTGATCTCATAGGATCTCATAGGCATTTTAACAAATGTAACATTAGGGTTAGTCACAGGTCTGAGAGCAGGTACCTATGGCTAAACTCTCTTCACCCCCCGCCAAAAAAAAAAAAAAAAAAAAAGTGATCTGGTCAGTCCTGACTACTGGGAACAAAACCAACAAACCCTGCCATGTACCAATGTACCAGCCTCTGGACCATGTCCAGGAGCTGACTGGCAGAGTGTTGCCTAGCCCCAGAGTGTCTGGGGCCAGAGCTGTGCCTGCTAGTCTCATGCTGCAAAGCAGAATAGTTGCTGCTGTTATGTGCTGGTGTTTGTGCCTCTACCTTCCTCAGTGTAGCATGCTGCACCTGTAGCTGTGCAGTAATGCAGTTACAATTGCATGGTAGCAGTGCATTTTCCAGTGAGGCAGCTAGTACTAAACAAGAAGTTGCAAGTCAAAAATAAACAGGCTCATCAGTCCAACTCAGCAAAGAATCCATGTTGGGATTGTATCTGGGGCTTATTTCATGTTCCAATGTGCCAGGACCAGGGTCCAGCAAATGGATCTCCCCTGTGCTTGGGGACTACTCTAGTCACTGACCTACAGCATCAGCTTCATAAATTCATGGGAGAATGAGTTGTATGTATTTATATTGCTATACATGCAAAAGTCCTGAATTACTTTAGAAGCAGTGCCTTGGTCCAGAGATTTCGTTTTGAGTCTCTTCCTTTGGAGATGCTGTTCCATCCATATATAAACCTGAATTTAGCAATTAAACAAGTACTTCTGTTTCCTGGGTCCATAACAAGTACAAGACTAGGTTCAATCATACAAGTACAAGACTGGGTTTAGAAGTTCTCTCTTTGGCAAAATTTGATTTCAGAATTCCAGTTCTAACATTTCTCTGATAATCTGAAATCTGCTACATGAGTATGCTGTATTATGCATAAAAAAAATAAAAATGACTGAACACATGGGGAAAATGAATTACTATATGTAGCAATTAATGACTAATGCGGTTTTGTACAGCATTAACTTTATTCTGGCATATCATAAATCAGCGGTACCAAGTACATGCACTAGTACCACAAGTAATGTGCATGAATGCATGACATCTAATCTGGTGTTTTAGAGACATGGGCTTTTTCAGATGTTACAGTTCTATACAGCAACATGCTCAGAAGTTAGTGAAGCATTATAAGTTTGATATGCATTCTTATTTTGCATTTCTTCTTAATAAAATTCATTTTTTAAATATAAATAAACCTTCCTGTTATTCAAATTTAAGTCCACAAAAGAATCAGAATATTTTCTGAATTCTGTAGGATCAGCTGCAACCTCAGCCACTTTGTAAATCAATATCTATATTGTGTGATATGTTAAATAGGTACAGCTTGTCTTTTAAAGGTTATCTCCTCTCATTGACTGTCAAGTGAAACACAACAAAACACAACAAAAATGTTTAAAAAAAAAAGGACTTCTCTGTAGTAGTTGCATGAGTAGTCGTCTGCTTACTCCAAAGATCAGTAAAATGTTTGGCAAGAAAAGCACGAACTGAGCACGAGTACTCTTTCACATGTCAAAGCCAAAATTGAAAACATAGTTCAATGGAGTGCAAGGACGAGAGTGCCGGAAAGGCACTGCTGTAAATGTGTGCTACAAAACTGTACCACTCTCCACCTTCTCTATTGCTTTCATGTACAGCCCAACTACATTTCTGTAAAACAACGTGCATGAATGCAACTCAGGAATGCGTATGTCTTCTGCGAGCAGACACATAGCCAAACACCAACCCCTGTATCAAAGCACAGACATATTGCACAGAATGAAGAGCGATTGCAACTACTGAGAAAAAGCATGTTTTTCTCCCTCCCAGGTTATCTAAAAGCTTGATTTGTAGTGCAAAAGTGTGTTATAAACATGATTTTGACCACATTAAATCTTGCAAACTATATATATTATATATATATGTATATACAGTTTATATATAGTTCATACAACTGTATGAAGTTCAACAAGGCCAAGTGCTGGGTCCTGCACCTGGGGTGCAACAACCCCAAGCAGAGCTACGGGCTGGGAGATGAGTGGTTGGAAAGCTGCCTGGCGGAGAAGGACCTGGGAGTGATGGTTGATAGTCAGCTGAATATGAGCCAGCAGTGTGCTCAGGAGGCCAAGAAGGCCAACAGCATCCTGGCTTGTATAAGAAGCAGTGTGGCCAGCAGGGCTGGGGAAGTGATTGTCCCCCTGTACTCAGCTCTGGTGAGGCCGCACCGCGAGTACTGTGTTTAGTTTTGGGCCCCTCGCTACAAGAAGGACATCGAGGTGCTTGAACGAGTCCAGAGAAGGGCAACGAAGCTGGTGAGGGGCCTGGAGAACAAGTCCTACGAGGAGCGGCTGAGGGAGCTGGGCTTGTTCAGCCTGGAGAAAAGGAGTCTCAGGGGCAACCTTATCGCTCTCTACAGATACCTCAAAGGAGGCTGTAGCGAGGTGGGGGTTGGCCTGTTCTCCCACGTGCCTGGTAACAGGATGAGGGTGAATGGGCTAAAGTTGCGCCAGGGGAGTTTTAGGTTGGATGTTAGGAAGAACTGCTTTACCGAAAGGGTTGTTAGGCATTGGAATGGGCTGCCCAGGGAAGTGGTGGAGTCACCGTCCCTGGAGGTCTTTAAAAGACGTTTAGATGTAGAGCTTAGGGATATGGTTTAGTGGGGACTGTTAGTGTTAGGTCAGAGGTTGGACTCGATGATCTTGAGGTCTCTTCCAACCTAGAAGTTCTGTGATTCTGAGATTCTGTATTTATATGTTTAGTGGTGGAGTTTAAGCTTTCTGAAGTTGTAACATAATGCCATACTTGAGCAGTCGAAAGTAGGTGATTAGTTCAAAATCAAATTGTGTGAAGTTCAGTGTATTTAAGTCACTGCCTGGCACCTGCCCACACCTTCAGAATAAGCAGTGTGGGGACCCCAGAGTAATAAGCAGAGCTGTTAAGACCCTGTCTGGTGATAAGTGAACGTCAAGAGTGTCCTTCTTCATGTGGCTATTAGGTAAGTCAGGGCATACATGCTGGCATAATGCATATGCCTTAACGCTGGCCAGGCATTAAGAAAAAAGTGCCTCCATATAGATGTCTTTTTACACTGATGCTGAATAACTTGCAGTGCAAGACACAGTGACATGAAACAAGGAGGATGAGCGTCCAGGGATGAAACCTTATCTGAAACTTGTAGCATATATATGTTCTTGGGTATGTGTGTTTGAGAGAGAGAGACACTGTGATATTGTAACTTTTTAGCTGAGAAAGTGCTGGAGTATATATCTTGGGCAACACCCCACTGAGAGGGATTAGTTCTTATCTAGGTTTATATTAAAAAGAAAAACAAACAAACAAAACCAGAATGGTTCTTAATACCTTCTAAGATAAGCAAACTGGAAGGCGCTTCAACCCTTTAAAAAAATCTAGTCCTTTTTCCGCTCACACATACATTGACAGCTTTAGCCAATACTTAGCACTTAATAGACCTTTAAAAATGAATATTTCAACGTGACTAAACTACAGTAAAGTTGATACGGAAATCACAATCCGCGCTTTGGAGATAAGGTAACTGGTTCTAAGACATAAAGACCAAAGTGTAAAGCTTGTTACCCTAAATCAGAACATCTGCAGACAATATTTAATAACAAACAGGTGATGTAAGTGTTCTCAGGACTGAAAACATCAAAGTTCTTAAGGTCTGTGGAGATAGATGCCCAAGTCTGAAAACACTGTTTAAGTTCATGTTTAGCTTCCAAACACTCCAAAGTTGTGCAATTATATTTACTTATCTGCATGTGTTTACAGACAATTTTTTTTTTTTTTTAGAACTTCATGTTTGAGACAAGGCTACTTTTTTCAATAATTTGCTTTTCGCTTCTTCTAGAAGAGGAGTTACTTCTGGGCTAACAAATTTCCAGACCACTTAATAATGCATGAATTTTCCTCTTATGAAGCTAGATAGTTTTTCCATCACTTGTACTTCAGTATTTCTGAAACCAGGTGTTAATTTTCAGGGGGATAGGAGGTTTCCAAGCAGCTGCCAGGACCAATATAGCAGCCAGCAGTAAACGCTGAATAAGCTTAGGTACAAAATGTATACCATCTGGTTTCAGAAGCCTCTAGCCAAAAATGTGAGGCCAGTTCCTTTCATGTCCAGAAATCTTCCCGTTCACTGGGAATTGTGAAATGGATCTTACCTTTGCATTACCTTTTAATTCACAATTCAGAGGAAGATTTGAATAATGGTCTTAAGAAAATGTTGCATAACTATAAAATGGGAAAATAAGTAATATGCTCAGGTTTCATAATAAGAAAGATGAACACTATTTGACAGGCTGAGATCAAAGTCCTTGCTCAGCCTCACAGTAGTCCAGTTTGCCAAGCTGGTGTTTCTCAAAGTCAGTAATAGCTACCTATGCTCAACATGGAGACAAAGTCCCTCAGAGAAATTGACTCCCTAGACCAGTAAGTCAATAAGGAGATATAAAATGAAGCCCTGAAGGATGGATTTAAGACCAGGGAAGTGAAGAATGAGGTCTGTCTTGTCTTTCAGTAAGGAAATCCTTCTGGGTTCCTTAGGTGTCTGAAGAGAACAACTGTATATTTTATCTACATAAAATATAGCTTTACTGCAAAAATTGATAAAAGAGTAACTTAAGAGTGTTCTTGTCCACAGACACAAACATGAAGGCGTATATATGGT